GTGGATTCTGCGTCTTTTTTCTCCCAATCTCTCAGGTTTTGTAAGGTTTCCAATGGCTTCAGATCTTTTCTGTGTGATGTATGGGCGCGAGTGCAAGTACGGAGCTCCTTACTTCTCCGCCATCTTGCCCTCTCTCCTTAATTTTAATTTTTTATTTACCCATTCATTTACTTAACATTCACTGATACAAGCATTATTTTAGGTGTGTGGGATACAATGGTGGATAAGATAATAACTCATGCCCCCCAAAAAGACTATGAAAGAGAAAGACAAGAGATTACAACCCAGTGTCATTGACAGTAGAGTGAGGGTCCCCTTCAGTTTCCCCCCTACATCTTTAAACAACACCTTCCCTCCTTATCTATGTCCAAATCGGATTCAAGAGAAAGTTTTCCTTATTTTTGAGGCATCCGTGCCTGAGATAATTTGGGAATCAAGCACAGAAACTGCTTCTGTAAATTTTCCTCTATCAGACTGACCATGATTGTGAAATTAACATGCAGATCACGCATTCACAATATGGAAAAGATATGGTCATACATTGGTTTATTCATCCACATTTATGCATAGCCAGAACAGTTAAATGCGGCCAAGGCCAAGTCTCTACGTGGTAGAGAGCTAAGAAGCAGAAAGCATCACCCTGTTTTTATCCACTTTCTACAACTTCTGTTCTCGCTACTGGCATTATTCCTTAGAATAAAGCTGTATCTGCAAAGGGTCACAGTTAGGAGAAAAACATATTATTGGGGATAAGTAACATGTCAACCTGTATTAACATACATCAAAATTCTGTAGTACATTAGCAACTGGATTTCATCAGACCAGTTCAGACCATAATTAACACAAAAAAGGTACATTTTTGACAGAGACAGTGGGAATGGGGGGTGAAAATATGAAGGTACATATTTTCCTAGGTCTGATCTTTCAATTGTTAAGATAATATCTAACTGTTCTTAAAGAGAGTCCAGCAATAAACCATCAGTCCCAGGGAAATCGCATCAATCTTATATCTAATGCCATGTTCTAGGAGTTTCAGCATTCACTAAATATACACTCATGACTATCCCAGCACCTAGAGGCTGGGTCCCTCTTTTTAGGGAGCTATAGGACAGATTGGACCCATCAAAGTCTGACCTTCTTACAGACCCACTGTAAAAGAGCCTCACAGCTAGAGCCTAGGAAACCATTTTTGCTGAAGGTACCACACTTCTGTATCAAGCTGTTTGAAGTAACCCTGTAAGAAATCAGAGAAGCCAATCAGTTAAGGTAACATGAGAATCAAGGAGTAGCAAAGCATGAAGGGATGAAAACTGAGCAAGGGCTTTCTCCCTATTCAGTTCCCACTTTTCTCAACTCCCAAAACAGCAGGATAAAAATTGTTCATTAGCCTCCCGTTAAAATATCATCTTTGATATGTGCCTGGGTGACTCAGCAGGTTAAGCATCCAGCTGCAGCTCAGGTCATGATCTCATGGTTCGTGGGTTCGAGCTCCGCATCAGGCTCTGTGCTGACAGCTCGGAGCCTGGAGCCTGTTTCAGATTCTGTGTCTCCCTCTCTCTCTGACCCTCCCCTGCTCATGTTCTCCCTTTCTCTCTCTCTCTCTCTCAGAAATAAACACTATTATAGGTAAATAAACACTAAAAATATTTTAATAAAATTTTTGAAAAATAAATAAAATTTCTTTTTTTTTTTGCTCTTATCCACTGTTTATTTCCTTCCTTGTTCCGTTTCCTTTCCTTACCCCTTCCTCTCCTCTCCATCTATTATCCTTGATCTATTTCTCTAGTCACATAATTTTCTTCCCCTTTTCTCTCTCTTTTTTTTTTTTTTTCATTGTTTTGAATGCCCTCACCTTGAAAAGTTTAGGGCTGATCCATCTTCCCACCTCCAGCCAGAACTGTTCCTCAGACCAATCCAGTAAAAGTCTTCTTTGAGGAAGGGCTGAAGCAGGCTCTAACAGAGAGATTGAAGATGATGGGAAAAGGCAAGAAAACACAGGAAACCAAAGAGGAGAGTCAGTGTCATGATCAAACATTATTCCTTACACGCCCTCTCATGACCATTATTGTGGACTGAATGTTTATTGATCCTCAAAGATCATATGTGGACGCTCTAACCTCCAACATGATGGTACCTGCAGGTGGGCCTATGGAAGGTAATTAGGTTCAGATGAGGCCATGAGGCCCTCCCTGATGATGTAATTAGTGTCTTTGTAAGAAGAGATGCAAGTTTGGGGCGCCTGGGTGGCTCAGTCGGCTAAGCGTCTGACTTCAGCTCAGGTCATGATCTCACGGTTCGTGGGTTCAAGGCCCACATCAGGCTCTGTGCTGACATCTAGCTCAGAGCCTGGAGCCTGTTTCAGATTCTTTGTCTCCCTCTCTCTCTGACCTTCCCCTGCTCATGCTGTCTCTCTCTCTTTCTCTCTCAAAAATAAAACATTAAATAGAAGAAGAAGAAGAAGAGATGCAAGTTCAATCTCTGTCCGCAATGAGAGGGCAGGTGTCTGGATGTCAGAAAGAAGGTTCTCACCAGAAACTAAACCTGTCAACACCTTGATCTTGGACTTCCCAACCTCCAGAACTGTGAGACATAAACGTCTGTGGGTTAAGCCACTCAGTGATGCTCTGGTTAGCAGTTCAAGCTGCTGAAAAGCACCACCTACTTCAAATAATTAATCTCTCTTTTAAATTCTAATTCTAGGGGCACCTGGGTGGCTGTTGGTTAAAGGTCTAGTTGTTGATTTCAGTTCAGGTTCACGGGATTGAGCCCCACATCAGGCTCTGCACTTAATGCAGAGTCCTTCTTGTTTCTGTGCCCCTCCTCCGCTTGTGCTCAGTATCTCTCTCTTTCAAAATAAATAAATAAGCATTTAAACATTTTAATAAATCCTTAATTCTAGAGGTGCGGTGCAGAGTGGAGCCTCTCCTAGAATTAAACTTTATGTCTGTAATTGCATGCTTAGGACACGAAAGATAAGATAAATATTATATCCCTGCCTTCCATTACAACTTGATCAGGTGAGTACCTAATAGAAGAAAAGCTAAATACCACTATGAAATCAGCCATCTTTCTCATTCTCATTTAATACATAAATGATGATTAAGCCTGCAGCAATATACTTGACTTTTTCCACACTACACTCCCATTTTCCAAGACATTATTAATTTTCCATAAGAGAATATAGAAACAGCTCTTAAGAAATTAAGCATCAGGTAAGTTACATTGGCTGCACCTGTATGTCCCCTGCTACCACTAGAACAGGGACAAAACATTCTTGGTTCTATAGAGTCTGACATTCGAATGAAGTTTATACTCTAAGGTAATAGGCCTCTATAAGTAGAATAAAATAAAGGATAAATCCCAGAAGACTAGGTCTGTTGTAGGATTTGGTATTAGTGTAATGAATATACTTTACAATAAATAAACAAAATCTCAGCTTGGAAAATTGCTTTTGTCACAGAGATTTTCCTGGTGATGCTGAATTTTCAACGTGATGTTAATGTTGACAAGTATTGTGTTTCTTCATGAGCAAGAAGGATGAAAGTGTAAGTCTGACCAACAAAACTGTAAGACCAACATACTGACAGGAAAGTTACATATATAATAAGAAGCTCAATATTTGTATATGTTTCAGCATATGGATAAATATGTAAAGATATTCATATGTGTCTAAACAGATACCAAAGCATGTGGGTTACAAGTGATGGGCAAGTATGAATGCGTGCAGTAGCATTTGGGGACATCATTAACTGATGTCTCTGTGTGTCCAGCAAATACTGTATGTATAATTAGTGAGATAAGTGCCTAGCATTTTCTCTATACTCTACTTTTTTTAATAAATTTATTTTTTTGAGGGGGGTCCAGAGAGAAAGGGGGAGACAGAGAATCCAAAGCAGGCTCCGAGCTGTCAGCAGATGCGGGCTAGAACCCACAAACCAGATGCGGGGCTCGAACCCACAAACTGTGAGACCATGACCTAAGCCAAATTCAGATACCCAACTGACTGAGCCACCCAGGTGCCCTTCTATACTCTACTTCTTATTCTTAATCCTTGAGGTCACTACAAAGCCCTTGTGAAAGAAAATTTAAAACTAGTAAGAAAGTATCCAAATTAGACCTCTCTTCCTTCTTAAAAAAATTTTTTTAATGTTTATTATTTTTGAGAGAGTGAGAGACAGTGTGCAAGTGGGGGAGGAGCAGAGAGAGAGGGAGACACAGAATCCGAAGCAGGCTCCAGGCTTTGAGTTGTCAGCACAGAGCCGGATGTGGGGCTTGAATCCATGAACCTGAGCCAAAGTCAGATGCTCAACAAATTGAGCTAGCCAGGTGCCCCAGACCTCTCTGCCTTCTATTTTGTTCCCAGGTATCTTGTGTTTTAGTGTTTTTTTTTGGGTTAGTTGGTTGGTTTGGTTCTTCTCTGAGTTAGAGTTTGATCTGACAGACGTTATAGAAAAAGGCCATATAACTTGCTCCCAAGATCATGTATTTCCTGATTGATCATTTGTTTCAAGCCTCCTTCTTACGATGCTTTGAGATAACCTGCCATTTTATCTGGAAGTGACCATCAACCAATCATCATATTTTCAAGTTTAGTGGACACCTTTTGATCCCTCATTCTGTAAACGTCTCTCCTTTGGAGGAACAGAAACTCAAAAAAAAAAAAAAAAAAAGAGCAGTGACATATGTTATTCCACAGTAATTTAGTGATCAGACTTGGACTAGAACCCAAGGTCTTGCTCTAGTACCCAAGGCCTTGGCAAGTCCTCTACAGAGATAATCCATCTCTCTGCAACTCATGTCTCTCTTTAAACTGTGCTTTCTCAGGGTGCCGAGGTGGCTCAGTTGCTTAAACAGCCGGCTCTTGATTTCGGCTCAGCTCATGTTCTCACGGTTCATGGATCAAGCCCTACATCGGGTTCCATGTTGACAGCACAGAACTTGCTTCAGATTCTATTGCTCCAGCCCCTCCCTTGCTCATTGCACTCTCTTTCTCCAAATAAATAAATAAACTTAACAACATAATATAACATAACATAAACTGTGCTTGGCTGGCTCAGTTAGTAGAGCATGCAACTCTCGATCTCAGTGTTGTAAGTTTGAGCCCCATGTTGGGGGTAGCAATTTCTTTAAAAAAATAAAATAAACTGTGCTTTCTCTAGCCCTGAAAAAATCATGAGACTCCTAGGATGTGCCAAGAAACATTTACATTCAGCATACTAGAAAACTAGAGACTAGACGTTCTCATTGATAAAACAGGTGAAGAAGATAGCTTAAGCATATAACATTAGATTCCAGTATTATTTACTTTCTTGGGATCCCAATGTTGCACAGAACAGGCTGATGTATAAATAAGGATGTTTATTAAAGCTAATATAATATGTTTCTCATTATATGTAAAGTCAGATATCCTAAAACCTGGGTTAAATGAGGAAGACCTGCGATGGCAGAGTACTTACTCCTGGACTTCCTTTAGGCAATCTGAAAAACCTCCTCTAGATGTCGTTGAAAAATCAAAGAAAATTACTTCCTTCTGCAGGTTACAGGGAGAAAAAGCATCTTAAACTTTCTTAATTTTCCTCTAAATTTTATATATATATATATATTTCATTTAATCATGGCAATAGTTTCTAATAACAGCTTAATTAGCTGAATATTTTTTTAATGTTTATTTTATTTTTGACAGAGAGAGAGAGAGAGACAGAGCATGAGTGGGGGAGGGGCAGAGAAAGAGAAGACACAGAATCTGAAGCAGGCTCCAGGCTCTGAGCTGTGAGCACAGTCGTATTCAGGGCTGGAACTCATAGACCACAAGATTGTGACCTGAGCTGAAGTGGGACGCCCAACTGATTGAGCCACCCAGGCGCCCCTAGTTGAATATTTTTTAAAGAAAATATTCTTTTTGTTATCTAACAACTACTTAGACACCAGTTTCTAATAAGAAATTTTAACTCAGTGATTCTCACGATACTGCTAGATGTCCCATTTTGATGTCATTGTTTTTATTGGAAGATGGTTGCTGAAGAGTTAAGAATTCAAGGACTCTGCTCTTAACTGGGTCTGGACTAGCCCCCTTTACTTACTTGGAGACTATCATTGGCATGAATAAAGAGTTTCTCTTCTAAAAGCAAAGACAGGCATAAGGTTTCTTTGCATTCCCAGTAAAAACAGTAAAAGAGATTGTCTATAACAAATCACCAAAGACTGGGTGGCTTCAACAATGGGCACTTAATTCCCACAATTCTGGAGGCTGGGAAGTCCAAGATCAAGGTGTTTGGCATATCTGGTGTCTGGTGAGGGCTTGCTTCCTAATTTGCAGATGGGCATCTTCTAGTTGTATGCTCACATGGCAGAGAGCGGAGAGACAAGATCTCTCACATTCCTTCTATAAAGGGCACTAATCCCATCATGGGGGCCCTACCATCATCATCTTCTTGTCTCCCAAAGGCTACATCTTCAAATATCACCACGTTGAAGATTAGGATTTCAATATATGAGTTTTTGAGAGACACAAACATGCAGTCCATAACAGACAGAACAAGTCTTCTGTGCCCACTACAGAACAACTTCTATTTTCCCTTCATTGGATTTCAATCTTAGTTTCCACCGAAGAAACATGGTGGTAATAGCTTCTAGATGAAGCACTTGAAAAATCTATAAAACTTGTTTCTCAACACTTCCTCCCCCAAATAATCTATCTCCTGCGATAGCTTTGTTCTCTCAGGGCAGAGTATCCTGAAGACAAAATGTCCTATATTTGTATGGTACTTTACGGATTATGAAATACCTTTGCATTCATTCCTAATTCACTTGAAAAGTTCAACGTGCAGTGCGACATTTAGGAAAACAAAACAAAAACAGTACCTTACCACTAGCTTTGTCCCTGCTCTCTGAAGATGAAAAATTTGCTTAATCTGGCTGAGTTGGAGTTTCCTTAAGAGGACTTAGCTTAGATA